TGGTCGAATTTAGCAAAATTTCTCCCACTTGTCCGGGTTGGTATTGTCAGGACATCTTACAGAAAGTGGCCAGTTCTGTGCAAAATGCAAAAGTTTCAATTTATCAAAGCAAGTCCGCGTGAAAATGCGAGCCTGCGGTACTGGGAAAAAATTTGCAGAATATGACCGGCGTGATATGCATGGGTGGGCTTATACAAGGGGGGGGGTGGCTTATATTCGGGGATGTTTACGGTATGAATATAAATTGGAATCTAACTTATTATAGGAATAAAAATATTAAAAATATTATATTTCATCATATTGACTCAAATTGGGTTAGCAAATTAAACCAGGAAAGCGTTTTTAAACTATTCATTTACTCACAATGAGAGTGCAATGAATCGCGACATTAAAGATTAACTATTGCAGAACTGACCATCGTGATATTATATATATTTCTGAAAAACAGTGGTTATTAATCCCAACCCTTTCTTTCTAATAATCTTATACCGGTCATAAAGTGAATGTAAATTTGCTCATTTTTCATTTATATGGTTTGGAAAAACATAGCCTTGCATTCGTCCTTCGAATCCTTCCTGATACTCTTCATATTTCTTTTGTTTTGTTCATTTCACTTACCTTTTCTTATTACATACTTTAGTTTCTTGCCACACTTCTCAAGAAATGAAGCCATAGTTGTGCTTGCTGTTTTAAATATTCTGTTGTAAAGCAGAACTTGAGGGTACAATGGTCGGCAACTGTGATCTGACACATTCATCAGGTACTTGGTTTGTTTCATTCGTGGATGATAACTGCTTTGATTATTTGCGGACAACCTATGAAGAAATGTGAGAAACGTACTCGATCTGTAAAAACGAAATACCTCATCATAAGTAACGAAGGAACGCCTTTATTAAAGGGCACTGGACAATAAAAATTCAGGAGGGAGGGAATTCTCGTCAAAGGGCCTTTCGTGTATAACCCGAACGTCAGGGCACGCTTTAAGGAATTACAATTACTGGGGCACAGTCTTAATGAGGGCCCTTTCCCTATGAGTCAAGTGTATTAACGAAGGTAATCCATCTAACATCTGGTCAACCATATAGCCTCTCAAATTAACCTGAAATCCTGATTAGATTAGCCACGAAATTGTGTTTAAATTAACTAGGACTGTGTTTAAATTAACTAAGAAATTAAAGCAGGAACATTAAGTTCCCCCAAACAGTGTTAATTTTAGATTGATCTGTAAACTTTTAACTATAGGGTGATTTTAGAGTGTAACATTTTTAACACTCTCTTGATCACCATCGATGCAGTGGTAGTGCATGTAAACATTTTGTGGACTGCAGTAGATTATGGTCAAGTAAAACATGTTCACAGTCGTAGAGGGAAGCACGTAAATGAAGATGAATCTCTTTCACAGATTCTGTAATTTGTCCGGTGAAAATTCATGAGCTACAGAACAGGCCACAATTATAATGTTCGCTAATATCAACACTACTTACCACTTTGGGATGCTGCTGTTTTGAAAACAACCCTTTGACATATTCCTCTTTTGATTTAGCTTCACTGCTTCCATATACTCTTTTGTATTTTTACTTCCATTTTTAATCCGTAGAATATTCTGTATTTCAAAATCACTAATTTTGGATCGTTGAATCGGCTTTGAAATGTTAAAATGCGAAATCACGGTTCGACTATTTATTGCAATCTTGTTGTGGTTATGTTGTATTGTTTTGCGTGAGTTCCTGGATTTCGTTCCATCAGCTTGAGGCAATCCCACCAGACAATCCCATAGAAAGTGTGCTGCAAAGATAATTAATTAAAGAAATATTTTAATTTGGAAACCGAGCTAGGAAAACCAAATACTCCAATAGACAATGACTAAAATACCGGCGGTCGAATGTCTACATGCATGTAATAGCTTGAGAATGAAGCTTCGTGCATATTAAAGTTGCTATCATTCAGTATACCAAATTTAGCACGGTGACTTGATTTGGCGTTCTAGCTTACATAGTGTTAATGTTGTTGATTACTAGAGGGAACCTTGGGAAAATTTAATCTATTATTGGGCGAGTTCGAAATTTTATCTATTTTGAAGAA